AGGAATGCCTACCTCACACCTATGTGTTACTTCTGCAGGTTGACCTTCAGAGGAAAGTTGAAGAGAGGAACCGTCTACTGGCAGAATACAAAGTAACGGAACCTCTCTTTACTGGAGGCTTTTCTGGGGCAGCATCTGGTGGTTCTTCAGTTTTGTGAATGTGACTGCTGTCTCCCTGGCACCCAGTCACAGTCACCTCTGGGAATGGCCTGGCGGGTAGTGAACAAGTTGCAATAGCCACAGATACTAATGAGGTGGAGAGATCATGTGTTCTGCCCACAGCTTTTTACAGCAGGTCACTTATTGTCATGTTTTTTGTGGTGCCTTGCCGAGTAGTTAATGCTTGTGCAGAAGTCTGTCAGGTCAGGTTGGGTCACCTGATTGTCCAGTGATCCCTCAGCAATCTCTTTTCTCTGGCACAGTTGTCTGGCCTCAGTAGTGGATCTTTTCTGGGCAAGGGGGCTCCAGGCAGCAAAAACCTGACTGATCTCTTCAAAAAAGGCTTTCACACTCAGTTATAACGTCTAGGTAGAAGTACACACATTGTGGAAGTCGGCCTGCAGAGGAACCTGATCCTGGCAGATGACATGATCTTCCCTGCCGTGGGAAGATGATTGTGAGCCTCCCTGTCCAGTTGATTCTCTTGGTTACTGTGTTGCAGAAGGAACTGGGCCAGAAGGATTGGCATTTACAGCAGCATCAGAACAAACTGGATGAAATGCTCAGGCAGCTTTCTGAGGCCAGCTACCAGCAGGTATGGAGCGGGTGGGCTGCGCTGGTCCCTGAGGGCTGGCTCTTGCCTTGGGGGCCCAGTTTGTGCTAACTCTTCTACTCCTCTCACAGGTGGATTTGGAGCGGGAGCTGGAGCATAAAGAGGCCCTGCTAGCTCACTGCATGAAGAGAGAAGCCGAAGAGGTAGGGGAAGCCTTAGTCTAAACGTCAGGCTGTGGGAGTGATGTTTCTGTCCAGCACCTTCTAGCTACCTATGTCCAGAAATCATCCACCTCATCCCAGAGAGGCCTGGCTCTGCAGTCTCATTGTCAGTGCCCTAACCAAGGCAGCCAGACTCCTCTAAGCATCCCTCTTAGCAAAGTGCTCAGCAGTTCAGCACTCTGGCTTAGCCTCCTGTCAAAATCCTATGGAATGAAACAGTGAGGGGAGCACAGGAGTGAGTGGAAGTCAGACTCTAGGCTTCTAGCTTCAGCTCTGACACTGGCTAATGGTTAGACAAGGGCTTCTTAGTCCTCCTTTTCCTACTGACCCTGGTACTGAGCACTTGGAACTGTCTTGGTGGAAAGAATGCCAGCCCCGATATCTGTCCCGCACAGTGCCACTTGAACACGGACTATGCCCACTAGAGCTTGCAGAGCCCTCTGATGTAGCAGCAAGCCCCTTCCCGTCGCTGCCTCTTTCTCCACCTGTATGTGAGGAATCACACTTGTGCTCTCGCCTGTTGGACTGCCTGCACACTCCTCTGGTAGAAAATGGGGGCTAGATCACTGATGTGGAAAGTTTTCATGCCTTCTCAGCACCTTGAAGGTCACAAACTGGGGTCTCTGGGGAGGTCATAACGCTTACATTCCTAGTGGCACATGCATCTTCCCCTGAACAGGCGATGGCTTACAGCAGCCTTAGTGCTCCGAGCAATGGCTTCCTCCAGACAGCAGGAAAAGGAGCTGCTCCCACAGCCCACCGAGGGGTAAGTGCCTGTAAGGCATGCTTTCTCAGCCAGATTCAGATGAGGGCTCTGGATATCCTGGAAGCTATTGTATTGCTAGGAGATGTTTTCCCTTTCCAAGACCTGCGGCTTTAGATGGGAAGAAGCAGTCTGGAGTTAGTCTGACTCGTGGTCTCTTGCGCAGACAAATGACTTGCAGCTGGTTCGCGATGCCCTTCGCAGCCTCAGGAACAGTTTCAGTGGCCATGATCCACAGCACCACACCATTGACAGCCTGGAGCAGGGCATCTCCAGCCTGATGGAACGGCTGTACCGCATGGAAACACAGAAGAGGCAAGAGAGAAGGGTAAAGGCTTCCTAGGGCACTTGGCACTTCCCCTCGCGCGGAACCTGCTAAGCATCAATGAGACCTCCCACTGGGAAGTCGCACCTCGTTCTCACTCTGTTGGCTTTGCGCCCTAGATCCGGGGGAAGTCACCTGCAAGCAGAGCAACCGACGAGTGTAGAGACTCCTGGCCTCCCAAATCCAGTAAGTGCCTTTCAGCTCCTGCCCTCCCGCTGCCAAATTCATTGCTCAGGTTTCCTGGCCATTGTCAAGGGCATAGCATCCCTTTGGGAATCTGCCACCTACAGCTTCTTATTCCCTTGACCAGAGCTCGCTTTCCGCCCTTTAGCCACGTGCTGTACAGATCAGGCTTCACCGTGAAGGCGGGGGAGCAGAGACCCTCTGCGGCTGGTTGGTTGTAAAGCACCATCACAGTAGGAGGGTGGCCTCGGGTAGTACTGCAGCGTAAATAACTGACCATTACCCCCGGGAGCAGTGGGAAATGTGCTGTTATTGAAGCTTTCCTGCAGGTTTGCACCATCTAGCGGGCACCGATACTGTACCGTTGCCTCTTCCCCTGTTCCTCCCCTCCGTGTCTAGCTCCTTTCATATATGCCTAACAGCACAGCCCTCCCTGACACCACGTTTTCTGGCTCCAGCTGCGGCAGCTCCATGTTCGCTTTTCATTTTTTCAAATTTGCCGACGCCCCCGTTTTTGTCTCCTGTCGTGGCAGGAGCCTGGCTCTTCCCAAACGATTGTGCCGTTTGCTTTGCAGAACTGCCTCATTCTCACAGCACGCCTGTGATGAGCACCAGTGCCTGCACCAAAGTGCTGTACTTCACTGACCGCTCCCTCACACCTTTCATGGTCAACATACCAAAGAGGTGAGGTCTGCCTTTGCCGAGGACGTGGGGAGACGCTTCTGGCCCTTCAAGCATCAGCCTGGTCTCTTCTGGGTGTGGGTCACTGCTAGCACAGGCTCCCTGTGAGCTCGCTCGGGCACTGGGTTTCATGCCTCTGCCTGGGCAGAATTGCCAAAGCAGTCCCGCAGCTAATGGGTTTGGTTTAGAGCCCCCAGAGATTAATCTTTTTTATTAACCTGCAAGAGCTGGAGAAAGCAGCCAGGCAGTTGTGTTGGGGCTTGTGGCGTAGGAGGGTCCTGTCAAAACAACTGTGGTTGTCAATGCCAAAGGGAAGGTGAAAAAGGCTGTTTTGAGGTGGCTCTTTGTAAAAACAAGAGGCAGTTCTTCCTCTGAGGAGGACCTTGGGGTTGACAAGTGTATCCCTGCGGGGGCACACTCTTCACATGCCAGTGGTCAGGGTGCCACGTGCCTGGTTAGACTGGTGCTGTGGCTCTGTGTGCCGTGTGGGAACACTCGAGCTAAATCCTGCAGCAGTCTGCCACGGGATAGTGCCAAACTTTTCCCTTGCAGGTTAGGGGAAGTGACTCTGAAGGATTTCAAGGTAGCTATCGATCGTGAAGGAACCTACCGGTACCACTTCAAAGCCCTGGATCCTGAGTTTGGCACAGTTAAAGAGGAGGTAAGTGTGGAAGTGGGTTATCAGCCACTTGAGGTTCTGTGTTCGCGCACGACCCTGGAGACCACGGTCGCATCGCTTCTAAACTCATGAGAGCTTTGAATGTGCCCCAAACAGACTCCCTGTCTTCACAACCACAGATGAAGCTCCTCTTGTAGAGGTGCTAAATTAGGGTGTTTTCATCCCCAGCCTGAGCAATTCCATGAATGCGACTGCAGTTGCCTGGGGGTTGCAGAGACGGCTGTTGACAGTCTGTGACACAGCCCTGCTCAGGGGACACTGGGCCAGACTATGCTTCAGGAAACCTGTTGCAGTGACAGACACTTAAAACATGGTTTCTTCAAAAACTTTCTCCTACTTTCTTCTTGAGGTTTTCGAGGTAACTGTGTGGTATCTGTGCATACTGCCTCACAGCCTTGCTGCTGCTCAGGCTGCTGGTGGTGTGGGTGAGATTCATTAAACGTTATGGGGATAGTCCCTGTGGCACAAATTAAGTGCTAAGGGTTACCCTCTCTGGGAACCGTCAGCTGACGAGGTAGCCGTCCTGCAGAAACCGCTGGAGATTATAGCCTGGATCAGAAAAGGCATGTTTCCTGTCTTTATTTTACCTTTTCTGTCAAAAGCGTGCCCCTATTCACCTTGACAGTTACTGGTTAAAGAAGGGGCCTTAATCTGGTTTAGGTAAAACCAGAACAGGCTACCTAGCCGTGCGAATGAAGGGTGAGGTACATGCTCCTGCTGTGTAGTGAAATCCGGGCTGGGATCTGACTTGATGCCTGCCCTGACGCCACTCACGCTGCAGAACAGTGGGGTCGAGGCCCCAGATGTGACTGGGTTCCCTGCTTTTTGTAGGTGTTCCATGATGATGATCTCATTCCTGGTTGGGAGGGGAAAATTGTGGCATGGGTAGAAGAAGACCATGGGGAGAATTAATGAAGATTTTAAAGTCTTGTCACTATGGAAACGTGTAACTGGCTGCTGAGCTGGAAGAATGACCAAAAAGCACGTCTGCTAGAAGGAGTCCAAGCTGCCAAAAGAGAGGGCTTCTCTGCAAACAAGGGGTAATGCATGTTGTGTGCGTGGATGCGGGGAATCTGACTTTCACGGCCAAATGCAGAGCGTTCCGAGACCGAAATGACTGGTCTGCGGGAAAGAAACACCTTGCTTCGTCCCGTCAAGGAAACCCCGAAGGCCTTACTGATACCTTGCTCCCGCTTCTCCACTCCTGCGGTGTGTGCTGCAGACTCTGACCTGAGTGCTGCAAGTCTGGTTTCTCGTGCATCCCTCAGATCTGCGCTGACGGCAAAACTGCGAAGCTGTTGCCGCTGTGCGTCAGGAGAAGCTGCTGGATTCTGTGAGCCGAAGGTTCGACCAGCTTTGGGCCTGCACTTGCGCATGCTGCAGCAGAGTGAACTGCCTGGGCGTGCCAGGCAGTACAGCAGCCTGACCTGGGGAGGGCAGACAGGCTTCGCGGGTTTTGCACATGGCCTAAGGCCAAGATCAGTAGCTTGGCAAAGCTCCTCTTCTCCCTAACTTAGGCTTCCATTTCCCATCCCTGCTTTTCCCACTTGCTTTCCAAAGCTGTGCTCACTTCTGAGGCCTTCTGGGTTTGCTTTGTTGCCATGGGGACTGTGGGATCTTGGTGCTTGCTTATTTGCTGAAGGATTTCATGTGCAGGGGAGCTGGAATCAGCTCTTGCCCTGAGGTCCTTATGGTCCCTCTCCTTGCTGAGCTTCTCTCCCTGCACTCCTGCCCTCTCCTCTTCCATCAAGGCAGTTTGCCACCTCCTGTGCACAGGCATCACTGTGCTGCTGTCCGCTCCTTGCCAAGGCCACCCAACGCGTGTCCGCGCCAGAAGGATAACCCCTTCGGGCACCCCGCAAGTCCCTGGTGTGCCCACTCCTGGGGTGCCTGAAGGGTCAGGAAATGAATGACTGCTTGGGAAAGAAGGAGCCCTCAAATCCCTGAGGGTGGGTTTTTCTTTGGGGTGTTTTGTTTCTGCATTGCCTGTCTCCAGCCCTTCTGCCCGTCAGCTGTGGGTCCAGGCTGCTGGCTGGGATGTGCAGCAGACACCGTCCACCGAGAAAGTCGGATGGCGAGCCAAGGCTCTGCTGGCACTCCGGCCGTGTTGCCCGTCCGCGGACTGCCCGCGTGCGCTGGGCGTGAGGCTGGGCGAGGGCGAACCTGGGTTTACCCTTTTGTAGTAACGTCTCCTTTTGTAAACACGTTCCTGTTCTTGGAATTATTTTGTACCAGTTTACGTTTGTCTGAGGACTCTGGATATTTTTATACCAGTGCAAGTGCTTTCTGTATATTTCTGCACGCGTTACGCTCCGTTTTACTCATTTTCTAGTGGGTGCTGAGATGTTTTGTATTGTCTCCTGTTAACACTGGGCTCATAACTTTTTATTTTACCATGGAAATCCAACTAGTTCCTACTGGGTTTTGGTTTGGGATTTTTTTTGCCAGCTTTAATAGGCAGCAAGGATACTATTTAATTTTTTTCCACTGCTTCACTGTCCAGGCAGTATTTCAGGGTTCTTATGTGACTCTGTGCCACATTGGCACAACGCAACATACGCCTCCGGTTCTGGACAATGTTCGGGTGACTTCCTCCTTCCAGGCAGCAGTAGGGAAGTTCATCAGTGGGCTGCAGGGGGACAGTACATGGCGATTGGAAAGGACACAGAGGTTTTCATCCTCCTGGGAAGCAGTTTCTCTGCTGCATGATCTCTAGCGGGTTGATAAAGAGAGCGTGGCATTGTTATACTGACATCAGTTGTATTGGAATTGCCTGTTTTTTGCGAGTTTTCTTCTTCAGGTTTTACTCATCAACTTTATTTTGGAAAGAGCCGTGCACCCAGGCTACAGTTTAATGGAGAACACCAAGACAGCGCTCAAGGTCTGTAGTTCCACATCCCTCTCTGCCGCTCCAAGGTGAGCAGTTGGGTTTTGGAGCGCTGAAGACGGAGGAGGCTGTTAGTGTCATCGGAGCTTCTGCTGGGTGAGGCATCAGCCCGGCCTTGCCCACAGTGACCCCGTTTTCCCATGAAGAAAACAGTTGTTAGCTGCCACGGGATACAGCCCCTCCTTGTTTGTGGATCAGATAACTCACCACGGTCACGAGCAATACGCTTAAACAGTTGTTAGCTGCCACGGGATGCAGCCCCTTCTTGTTTGTGGATCAGAGCACCACGGTCACGAGCAATACGCGTAGAGCCACCGGAGAGCCAAGGACTGTATGAAAACACTCGCTCATGGGGGCAACAATGGGCTGTATTTGAGAAAAGGCTTCCTTCTGGGGGCTGGGTTTATGAGTGGATTGATTCCGGGGGTTGCGCTCTTGACGTCACACCCAGGACTTGCATTTTTACTGGTCTGACTGTTTCTGTCCAACTTTCTTCCTATTCCCGCCCTTGTAACCTGTTTATGTAACATACGTGCGATGTCTAAAGTTCTATTTTCATAGGAACGCTGACGTTTGCGTTCATCGCTCCGAAGGGGCGGTTATGCCGAAGCCTGTTCTTTAGGGAAGTGATGCTTTACCTGTACCTGTCAACCCCCCAAGTGGGTAAGCCTGGGCTGAGCGGGCCGAGCGCTTAATAAAATGGGGTTTGCAAACCCAGTCTGCTCCGTGCTTCCGGAGGGGAAGGGAACAACTTGGAAGCCACCCTCGCTTTCAGCGTGGAGGGAAGGGCTGGGGCTGGGGAAGCCTGTGCTGCTGCACGCCAGGCAGGCGCCGTGGTACCGGCTGCTACCGGCTGCACAGAACAGCTGCTGGCTTCACGGATCCCCCTGCGGAACTGGGATCTCGCTGCAAGGCCACCGTGACCCAGAGAACCCTGAAGGCTCTGCTGCAGTTCTGGGGGGGTACTGCACGCTGACGGGGTGTACAGGTGGGGTGCTGCCCCCATTTCCCAGCGCTGGACGAGCTCCCGCCACGGCTGTGAACGCTCCACCCATCGGGCTTCCTTCTCCCTGCAAGTGGGGCTGCTGAAGCGCTGGGCCGCGCTGGGCG